AAAGTTGCCAAGGTTGAGGACCCCTGCTATAGGCCAAATGATTTAGAGCAAAACCCTATCAAAGTATTTTTTAAGCCAGGGTGTCATATCATAACCATAATCAGTATTTTGCCTGCAGAAGATGTAGTCATCCAGTGCCCCTGTGTCATTACTGGAGGGGAAAGTATTTGGGGGGCTTTTTTCTCTTTCCCAGTTTTTATAGCAGGTACATTAATTTTCTTGTGTTCCATGCTTATCTTTCTTAATTTTTTGCTGAAACTTATGAGGTTTTGGGGAGTTAGATTTTAATATGCTGCTTTCCAGTGAACCCATTTGAAGAAAGTTTGCAAATCCAATGAAATCCAGAATAAAGGCAGTTCATTAACTCCAGTAAGGAACTTTAGGAACTCACTGTCAAATGTGAGTTCCTAAAAACACCAATACCCTGTCACTGATCACATGGAGAAAACTAAGTCCAAAAACACTGAAGAATTTCTGGCCCTGAGACAGATCAGCCATTAACAGGCACAGAGATAAACAACATGTACATACCATTCAGAAGAGATAATCCAAAAGTTAAAAGACCACCTCTTTGTGAGCAGTCAAAATCCAAATAAGCAGAGATTAACACCAAGATTATTACTACACCAACAATCAAGCAATAAACAATACCCCAATCAAGGCACTACCAACTCAGACAAAGTCAAACATTATACAATGGTCTTAATCAAGGAACCACCGAGAACACCAATACTGACAGGGGCAAGCCACGTTATGTAAACAAAGAGGGTAATGAAATGTCTGCAAGAAAACAACCAAGCTGAGAGAGGCCCAGGAACTCCAAAGTAATAAATCTGGATAAAAATGTAATAACTAACATTATTTTAAATTCTTCAAGGTCAGCCTCCCGTGTTCCATTAATGTAACCGAGCCTAACTATTAACCATCTCTGCAACTCATGTCACAAGTTAAGTCAAGGGAAATAATTTTCGATCTTTAACTTGCAAGGAGGATTTTAATGTCTTCCTTTTCTTTTTTCCAGATTCACTATCTGTTTGGTTGGCTTAAGGCTGCAAACTTTATTCAGAAGGCTGATTGGGACTTTTTCTCATTTGGAGAATTAGTCACGAAATTCCCTTAACAGCCTACCTGATTCCTGTACAGTAATATGAAGCTACCATATGCTTAATTTGGGGCTCACAAGGAGAGCCCGACCAGCTTGACTAGGGCCTATGATGAATGGATTGGGAACCATAAAACCTGCCTTGCATGTTGCAATATTTATAGTTTGTGGAGTAGACATGCAGGGATTGATGTAAAAAGGATTTCCTGAAGGCATTAAGCTTTTGAAAACCACAACCACTTTAAAGGAAAGGCAATGTTATTTTGGAATGCATATTTTTCAGTATTTTCATCTCTCGCTATGTTGATTAGCCAATGAGGTCTAGTATTTTTGACAGCCAGGGTACCATTTCTATTTATAAAGCTTCCATACACCCTATGTTTCAAACTTGGTGTAGCTAACTTGGTGTCTGTGGGTTGAGGTTTTGTAAGAAGAGGTATAATCTCTGAAGCAATCTTGCTTTCATCCAATTGCTGGTTTCAGTGTTTGGATTTTGGGAAGGGATGTATACAACAGAATATATTCAGTATGGGTGGATGAGCATGTATTTAAAAATTATGCAGTAATCAGCATTTTAAAGAGCCGTGGTGGCGCAGTGGTTAGAATGCAGTACTGCAGGCTACTTCTGCTGACTGCCGGCTGCCAGCAGTTCAGCAGTTCAATTCTCACCAGCTCAAGGTTGACTCAGCCTTCCATCCTTCCGAGGCCGGTAAATTGAGGACCCAGATTGTTGAGGGCAATAGGTTGACTCTGTAAACTGCTTAGAAAGGGCTGTAAAGCACTGTGAAGTGGTATATAAGTCTAAGTGCTATTGCTATTGCTATTAAAAAGCTTGATTTGGTGATGAATTTTAAGCAGCATGAAAGTATAATGGTAATGCTAACTGTTTCTCCGTTTATTAGCTGAAGGAGACAGCATTGTCCAAAGAGGCTTTTGTGGACCAGCATGACTATACACTGGGGCGCACGTAACACTTGTTATCTTCCCACCAAAGTGGTACCTATTTATCTAGTTGCATTTGCATGTTTTCAAACTGCTAGGTGGGCAAGAACTGGGGCAAGAACTAGAGCTCACCCCTTCATGCAGCGCTCCGGTCTTGAACCTGGGCTGCCAGCTGAGAAGCTCAGCATCTTTAACTGTTGAGCCATCATGCCCACATGAAAGTAAAATAGGAAAAGGCATCTTAGATATTAGTACCATGCAAAGCTTTTGAAAGGATTGCTTTGCAACATGCAGGAACACAAAGAGAGCACCTCTCATGAAAACCATGTTGTTGTTTTTCAGCTCTCAAAAGGCTGTTTTAAAAGCTATCCCCAGCTGTATCCTTGTGTGTGTGTGTGTGTAGTCATTTCTTTTAAAAAAACAACAGTTGGAACAGAACATTCTATAGAAAACCAAGGCTGCTTTAATGATTCACAAAGAGTTGTTCCATATACTGCAAAGCAGCTCTTCTGAAAGTTTTGCCTAGGCCAGGGGTAATCAACCTTGGCTCTTTTATGACTCGTGGACTTCAACTCCCAGAATTCCTGAGCCAGCATGGCTCAGCTTGGAAACTCTCCCTTTCCCCTCAGCATGGCTGGCTCAGGAATTCTGGGAGTTGAAGTCCACGAGTCATAAAAGAGCCAAGGTTGCCTACCCCTGGCCTAGTCCTACCAATTGGTACACATGTCCAGATAGTCATTGACTTACAACAGTTTGTTTAGTGACCCTTCAAAATTACAACGGCACTGAAAAAAGTGACTTGTGACCATTTTTCACACTTATCACTGTTGCAGCATCCCCATGGTCATGTGATCAAGATTCAGATGCTTGGAAACCGACTCATATTTATGACGGTTGCAGTGTCCTGACATCATGTGATTCCCTTTTGCGACCTTCTGACAAGCAAAGTCATTGGGGAAGCCAGATTCACTTAACAACCATGTTACTAACTTAACAACTGCAGTGATTCACTTAACAACTGTGGCAAGAAAGGTTGTAAAAAGGGACAAAACTCATTTAACAAATGTCTCACATAGCAACAGAAACTTTGGGCTTAATTTTGATGATAAGTCGAGGACTACCTGTTGTGTATTCCTGAGGGAGAATAAACTTTGGGTTTCACCCTGCAATGAAGTGGAGTTGGGAGCCTGTTAAACCATCTTCTCAGCTGCCTGTGCACCTTGCTAGTTGAATTATGGGACCAAACAGTGTTTTTTTTTCTTTTAATCCCAAATTAATTATGTGGTGGTGGCCTTGGGAAGCAGGACTTATTAGTGGTGGCAGGGTAGGAACAAGTGGGAGCTTTTAAGGAAAGCCTACTATTTAACTGACTTGATTTTTAATTTGAAGAATCCTTCATAGGCCTCTAAGGGAAAACACACTTCTTTCTGGATCACAGTTGGAAAGAATGAGGTCCAGCTTTTGTTGCCAAAACAAACTGAACACTTGGTTGTCAATTTTCAGATGTTTAGTTGCAAAATAAAAATGATATATTTCTTCAATGCGTGTTTTTGTACATTTAAAGAAGAAGAGATATCCGCTAATTTTGTCCAACATTCACTCAATGCCTTTTTTTAATGGAAAATGTACCTTTACAAAAAATGAGATAATACAGTAGCTCAACACATCAAGAAGGCCACCAGATGAACTTCTGTTTTTAATAATCATAATTCAATTCACAGCTAGTTTCTCAGAATTTCTACAGGCAGAGCAGCGGAGAGCAAAGCCTTGGGATGAATTTATAGGAGTTTCTGCTTTGCTTTAAAGGGGAATATGAAGGTCCCATGGTGAGGGGAAGTGTAAGATTACACACTTAAAATGATGGCCCCATAAAAAAAATCTGTAGATAGATAATTTAATATGGAAAGAGACAGTTTGATCTACTGGTTAAGATACCAGCTAATAACCTGGAGACTGAGAGTTCTAGTTCCACCTTAGTTGTGGAATCCAGCTGGGTGACTTTGGCCCAGTCACAGACTCTCAGCTACAACATGAGGCTGAGGTGACAAGCTGGTCAGTCAGTGCCTGTCACAACTAATCAATCAACACTCTTTGATCCTCCCCCAAAAGTGGACCCTGCATTGTGAGGAAATAAAACACTTTAACATCTTTCTCTTCATCTTCCATATCCAAATTATATTGCATGAATAAATGCCCATCTTGTGATAAGTGATAATTCACAATTCATTTTACTCCCCCAGCCTTCAAAATCTCCATATTTAGGATACAAGGAGCAAGAAAATTTATACCATATATATTTGCAAATAAATTAAAAATTTTAGGTGCCAATATACACCCATTGCATTCAGCTTATCCGCAGGTAGATACGGTAGTAATCATATATCCCTTATGTACTCACGTATAAGCTCATTAGCAGACAAGATGACCCTCAAATTTTTAACCAAAATCCCATGAAAAAAAATCAGGGATTACCCATGGATAAGCCAATGGTGAAAATTAAAATATACAACATTTTAAGGGTCAGCTTATTTGCGGTGCATTTTTCATGGTGTTTTGGTTAAAAATTCAAGGCTCAGCTTATCCATAGATAGACTTATACAGTACATGAAGTATATATGGTATTTGTTATACTTTTATAAATGTAAATTAAATTTTAAACATGGAACTTGGAAAGTTATTTGTGAAAAAAATGTGTCTATTCCTACCTATGATGTAGCATGCTGTGGAATTCCAATAGAATAGACCAGCGGTCTTCAAACTGGCTGAGGAATTCTGGGAGTTGAAGTCCACAAGTCTTAAAGTTGCCAAGTTTGAAGACCCCTGGAATAGACTATCTTTTGCCTTTCCAAGTATTGGTCAGTGTTTTAAATTTTGTATCTTTAACTTTTCTTGTTTCAGTGAAACACTGCGTTCTAAGAAGAAACTCAAGACTAACTTTTGCTCTTTTATTTTACAGCTCTCTCAATGGCAGTACAAAAATTTTTCCAGTCGCTTCAAGATTTTCAGTTTGAATGCATTGGAGATGCTGAAACAGACGATGAGATCAGTATTGGTAAGCCTACTTTACTGCAACTTGAATTAATAAGATTTAACTGACTATAGGTAGTCCTCGATTTACGGCCACAAATGACCCCCAAATTACCATTCTAAGCAAGGCACTTATTAAGTGAGCTTTGCCCCATTTTATAAAGTTTTGGGTTTTTTTGCCAAAGTTGTTAAGTGAATCGTGTGGACATTTAGCAAATCTGGCTTTTCCCATTGACTTTGCTTTTGGGAAGCTGGCTGGGAAGATTACAAATGGTGATCACATGACCCTGGGACAGTGCAGCGATCATAAATACATGCCAGTTGCCAGGTGTCCGAATTTTGATCATATGACCACAGGGATGCTGCACGGTCGTAAGGGTGAAAATCTAATAATAATAATAAAGTTGGAAGGGACCTTGGAGGTCATCTAGTCCAACCTCCTGCTCAGGCAGGAAACCCTATACCATTTCAGACAAATGGCTGTCCAGTCTCTTCTTAAAAACTTCCAGTGTTGGAGCATTCACAGCTTCTGGAGGCAGGTTGTTCCACTGATTAACTGTTCTAACTGTCAGGAAATTTCTCCTTAGTTCTAGGTTGCTTCTCTCCTTGATTGGTTTCCATCTGTTGCTTCTTGTCCTGCCTTCAGATGCTTTGGAGAATAGCTTCACTCCCTCTTCTTTGTGGCAGCCCCTGAGATATTGGAACACTGCTATCCTGTCACCCCTCGTCCTTCTCTTCGTTAAACTAGACATACCCAATTCCTGTCATAACTCGCTTTTTTCAGTGCTGTTGTAACTTTGAACAGTTACTAAATGAAGGGTTATAAGTCAGGGACTGCCTATACTAAAGTCTCAGAATCAGCTGTAATTGGTTAGTATGAAATGAACACATGCTAAGGATACCACATAATTGATGAATTTCAGTTGTTTTTCTGATCTTGGTAAAATCTTGGGATAGATTTTTTTTTTTAAATCATCAAGAAAGAGTGATCATGTCTCCAAATATTTAATGGATTATAAATATGGTGCAGTGCAAGCCGCTATCCATTATGTTCCTGTATTTCCTGATTTTTGTATAAATATTAATTGGAATTACCATTGCAAGATATTTTTGCAGGGGTGAGAATGAAGAGAAGTAAACATTTGGTAGCTGATCTGAGTGCATTTCTAGATTTTTTTATATATCCCTGCAATATTAAATAGATTCAGCTGGTTAACAATTCTAAGTTGTTTTCTTGTATTGTATGACATGACCAATCAGTTTATTCCATTAATGAAAAATAACATGGCCACTGATTGGGTTTAAGGTCGGATATGGACTGGTGAGAAAAGTTAATTGTTTGTGTATGGGATGTTAAAGATAGTGGAAGGAGAGATTGATGGGAACAAAGAAATATGGCTGAGAGTTGATAGTTGGGAGAAGTGGGAAGGATTAACTGGATGGCAAAGGGGTCAAAGGATTAGAATTCATCACATTCACCCAGACAAAAGTTTATTTGAAGAATAACAAAAGTAAATCATCTAGTAAACATTCTGGATAATTATCCATAAAGGTCACACTAAAAGGATTTGAACACCTTCCTAGTACTTAAGTCAGGCTCTGCTGTTAACAGTAAGAGGGACAACTATATTGCAACAGGTTTCTTAATATTCTTACAGCAGTTAAGCCATTCCAGAGTCTGAAGCCGTAAATTACAAGAAGTTGAATAAGTTACCTAGTAAACCTATACTCACCTACGGATCATAGAGTTGGGAGAATGTGAGCTGTTTGAGTTACACAATAGTAGAATTCTTCATTCCCTGTGATGTTGTGGAAAGTTTTGTGGTAGGGATCACTGAACTGTAATGGCCGTTGTAGTCATGACATTAGATCATTTTTGATCAAGTATCATCAACTAAAATATACATTGCCGGCTCATAACTACCTATGACAGTGATCCTCAGGCTTTGTCTCTGGGTTCACCTTTCGTGCGGAATACTTTTTCTTAAATGCTAAGTTGATAAAGAAGATTCTTTTATAAGTTGAGACATGTTTTGGGGCCTTCTTTTCCTTCTTTCTAGAGCACATAGAAAATGTGCGTTCTTGTACATGAACTCAAACAGAAACTTTAAAATGTTGGCTAACAAATCATGGCATTGAGCAAACCATAACTGGCTGAGCTTGCAAATATGCAGAGTCACAATCCATGATTTACAAAACAGAATGGCTTATTCAGCCCACTCATGAGTCTTTGATCTTGGGCAGATATTTTGGAAGGGGAAAAAGGAAAGGATCTAAAAAAATATCTGTATCTGCGATTGTCCCAAAGGTGCTTTTTCAGAAGGCAACTGGACTTTCTTATTTTTCTTTGAAAACATTTCAATTTTCATCCAAGAAGCTTCTTCAGCTCTGATTGGATGGTTTATCTGTGTCCTCAGGGTCACCTGAGTAGTACAAGTGTGTGTGGAGCCTTCTTAGGTGCAGGATGTTTTCTGCCCTGGCTGTGTCCCTTCACTGTTGAAGACAGGCGCAGTCTGTTGGGGATGAGTCTATGTTGTCTGCTTCTCAAACTGAAGTCCAAATGGTTCCTGTAGTCTTCAATGTTTTCTGGAAATCCGTTCATACTCCCTCATTATTCGAAGGGTATTCATCCCAAAGTGCATGGCTAAATGTCTATGGAGATTCTCAGTCATCCAGGTCATGGTTGTCCCAAAGGTGCTTTTATATAGGAGGCAACTGACTTTCTTGTTTCTCTTTAAAAAACTGCCCAGCACCTGGATGACTGAGAATCTCCATAGACATCTATCTGTGATTCTGTATATTGTTCTGCTTGCTGCAGTTCAAAAAGAATATAAGAGCCATTAAAGGCGCAAGCAAGCGCATTCAAAATCATCAAGGTGCTCAAAACACCTCCTGTTTTAATGTGGAAAATGTGGAGTGTAGAAATGTGGAAAAGACTATGCTTAAATGGGGGGGGGGGGGAAGGGGGACCTATGGGTCATGCCTGTAGAATATGGATCTTGCATGATCCAGAGAAAGGCTGTTATATTATGAGGGCATCCAATGAACTTGATGAGAAGGAACTTTAAAATAGTGCATAATTAGTCTGTAGAATTCTTTGCCACAAGATGTCATGATGGCTAGTAAATTGGATGGCTTTAAAGAGGGAGTGCATTACGTTATAGGGGATAGTTCTACTAAGGGCTATTAATCTCAGTGTTATCTCTGAAATGGGGCAGCTTGTCTCCAAAATATCAGTTGCTGGGGAACAGCAGTATGAGAGGTTCCTATCCACTTCTCCTACTTTCCTGGAACCCAGAAGCACCTAGTTAGCTACTAACCTTCAAACATTTTAAATCTTTAGTCCTCACATGCATTAACTGAGTTTTTCAAAGCTGTCGAAGCTTGCATAAAGCACAGATTAACTCCCAAATTCTTTTTATTTCTTGTTCACCTACATAGGACCATCCATGTTTAAACATGATATAGCTACAGTCATGGAAATATCAGGGGTTTTCTTCTTACTTAAGAACTGGAGAGCAGAATTGTTTCCCTTATGTTAATTGTTTATACAAATATGTATACAAAGTGTAGAAAGCAAACTGTATCTGGGAATAGCTAAGGTCTAAACCAGGGGTCTTCAAACTTCAAACTTCCTCAGCCAGGCACGCTGGCTGAGGAATTCTGGGAGTTGAAGTCCACAAGTCATAAAAGGGCCAGGTTTGAAGACCCCTGGTCTAAACCATCTTTCTCTCCGTGTCTTACTAATTGGCCCTTTCAGATATGGCTCACAGTGTCTAGCTGAGAGTAGCTGTCTTGACATCTAGAGGGTTAAAGTTTAGGAACGTTGGTCTTCTAGCTTGACCAGTGTCACTGTTGGTCATACCCAAGTCATTGTCTAATCTACATCAAACTTAGGTTGAAAATTCAACTTGAAACACTTAGATATTATTGCTCTGAACTTGTTTGGAAAAATAGGAGAAAGGTGGAGAGAACAATGATGACAAGAGAGTGACAGAAGCCTCACCAATTATACATAGGCACATTAGAAGTCTTTTTTAAAGTATAATTTTGGTTTTGTCTAAAGACTGCTTCCTGGCTGTTAAAGTATACTTAACTGTCCTTAAGATTCTTTTTTCCTCCTAAGCTGAGCAAAGTATTACAAGGAGACTCCTTATCCAATGTTTAAATTAGAGGGTGAGAGTTTCCCACCAAGTTTAACAAAACCATTATCTTGCTGTCTTTAAATAGCTCTTAAGAAACCCTTCACAAAAATATAAGGAAGTTAATTCTCTGGTTTACTTGTTTTATGTAGGGAGTTGCTTTGTTTCAATTCAGACCATTGATCAAGGGTCAGGGTGTTGTTTTTTAAATTTTTAAAATTTCTTTGCTGCCATCTAAATGATCCTATTTTAGTCTTTTTTTAACTGAAAGCACTTACAGCAGTGATTTATAAATTCATTGCCATGTGTTTAACTTACTGAATGTGCTGTATGTGGGCTGCTTACCAAAATGATTTGGAAATACACTTGGAAGGTGGAATTCAGGTGCACATGGAAGCAAGCCAATTAATAGGCTAGTGCCTGTGCCCTAATCACTGCATGTGATTACAGCCAGTTTGGTCTAGAGATTAAGGTACCAGGCTAGAAAGCCGGACACTGTAGTCCCACTTTAGGAATGAAATCCAGCTGGGTGACTCTCTCTCAGCTCCACCCAGCTCACAGAGTTATTGTGGGGCAATGTGTAAAAATAATAAAGACAGATAAAAAATTTTTTTTTGAAGGAATGTACACCAGCAAGAGAAAAAGGAAAAACCTTAGGCATCATAGAGCTTTCCCAGAAAGAGCCCAGATTAAGAGACTACACTGTCCCAAAATGGATGGGCAGGTGTGAAGAGGTTCAGGGTAGCCACACTCTACAACAGGGGTCTTCAGACTTGGCCCTTTTATGACTTGTGGACTTCAACTCCCAGAATTCCTCAGCCAGTGTGCCTGGCTGAGGAATTTTGGGAATTAACGTCCACAAGTCATAAAAGGGCCAAGTTTGAAGACCCCTGCTCTACAATCTCTAGGATAGATCTAGTAGGTTAG